AAGACTATCGTACTTCGTTACTTTCGTTTGCTGCGAAACTTCTACTCAAAAGTGAGGAAGCGAAATTACAGAATAATTCAACAAAAAAAAAATAAGTTCATAGCAATCTTAATATTTTATCTTATGTTATTAAAATTACTATTTCAATTGTGTTTTTTTCTTTTCATATGGAGAAAAGCAAAACACCATTCGGCATATACGTGGACCAGCTGCAGCGGTTTTTAGCGGGTAACATCTAATTGTAAAAATAATTTATGTGTATACAACATAATATGTATGTATATAATAAAAAATTTAGACATTGAAGTGGAAAACATTTATTTTCTTTTTAAATGCTTCCTGAATCGATATTTTTTAACTTTTTTATTTTACTTAGAGGTTACAAAGTGAAATTATAAAATAATTAAAAATAAAAAGTAAAACCGCCGCATTGGGATACGAACAGGATTTCTTGACTGTTCACGCGCTTAGGTTGCGGGGCATCGCGTCGAGAACGTGAATTTTCGCCGCAGTCGTATTCGAACAGGATTTCCAAGGCAAGCAGTGATGCCAGAATCGTGGGTCGCTTTCCCCCACTCTTTTCTAAATATAGCTCACCGTCTCTCGAACGGCCTGCGCACATGGACAGGGCTGGGATATACCTGTGTGTGGTGTGTGTGCCAGCACGGTGGACGTAAAGTGGGGGTAGCCAGGACGTCAGCACACGAAATGATTTCTGCGCACGCGCTCTGGTTGTTGGGAGTCGCGTTGGTAACGTAAATCTTACGGAAACACCCGAACGGGCCAGCTCACACGGATAGAAGCAAAGTATGCTTGTGTGCCAGAAACTGTGGAATAATGTGGGGGTAGCCAGGACGTCGTGGTGGTGGAACCAAGTTCCACGATTCTGGCATCACTGCCCCCGACCACGTCCACGGCTCCGCCTCGCTCTCCTTCTTTCGCGGCGAGCGGGATCGCGCCTTTCGCGATCCCGCTCGTCGTCCTCCTTCCAGGACCTCCCGCTCCCGACCATGGCTGTGACCACAGCCGGGAGCGAGAGGTCGTGTCCCACCTCCAACCGGAGTGCCCGCCTTTCCCTGGCAAAGGCCGGGCACTCCTCCAACGCGGTGTTTAGTGGCCAGGGTGTTTTACATGGTAACCTCTCTTATCCGAACTCGACGAATTGATTTGTACATCCTTTTTTCTTGGCTAATTTTAAATATATGTGATTTATTTTAATTTATTTTAATTAATTGGGATTTTTTTTTATTTATTTTAATTAATTGTTATATTTTAATTTATTATAATTAGGTACATGTGTTTTATTTTGATTTATTTTAATTAATTGGGTTTTATTTTAATTTATTTTAATTAACTGTGTTTCATTTTGATTTATTTTAATTAATTGTGTTTTACTTTGATTGATTTTAATTATATGTGTTTTATTTTGATTCATTTTAATTCAATAAAGTCAAGAAAGAAGCCGCCCGCCGAGAGATTTTAGTATCGTTAATATAAGCGTATATAGGTATCTAAGTTAGTTGTAAGATATTGCGATAGGTGGATAGATGAAAATTGTGTTTCTATCTAACTTCCTTGGGACACCCGTTATAAAATAATTGTACACCGAGCAGTTATTACTTTAGCTTATTTTTTCTCGCGTACCTCGATTCTTCCGGTCACTCTAAAATGTGCAAGTGACCGGCTCGGCAACACGGTCGCGTCGTTTCGAGTCACCCGGCGTTGCTCGCCACTTTGCATCAGAGAGAATTGATGCTCTCCTTCCGAGAGCATCGACTCTCTGAAACATACTCTCCTTCTGAGAGTATGCCACCCCTTTGTTTGTAATAATTGCTGGGTATACAGCTAAACGGAGTGATCAATGGAACTTTGATTCCATTTATCTCTCTTCCATTTATCTTAGTTTATTTAGTTAAGTTAAGTCGATTGTAAGACTAGTATAATCAACATTAAACTTAACTTTAAGTTATTTGTAAGACTTTGTAAAAAGGGAGGTAGATGACATTAATGATTCCATCGATGTAACTACGGTTACATAGATGAGATTGGGTTCCATCTAGCTTTCTTTGGGTCTCCACTCGCAGCAACCTTCTCGTGGTGAGACCCGGGCAATTGGTATTATCTTCGGTAAAGTATTGTAAACTGAAGGTAATACCGAGCTAATGGCTGCGAACTTAAAATTTCAGATCGATAAATAAAGATCGAATATTTTTGGTAAATGTTCTATCGTACATGAAACTTAGATTATTTTAAGACTAAATATAAGGTAGAAAATCTTTGTTAATTATATGAATACGTGAAGCTGAATAATAAAGTGCAAGGAGCCACGTATATATTCGACTATTTTAATAAATTCATACCTTACAATTGAAATAAAGCTGAAGTAATATCCTGTAGAAGGTTGGTTAGTAGAGCTCTTGTTGGATCAAATTTTATTATTTACTTACTCGCAATAAATAAAATTATTGTAAATAAATGATGTGTGAATAAAGTTATACATAAAGATTCACCAATTGCCAAAAGGTAATTGATTGTGCGTATTAGGGTTCCTATATAAAGTTGTACAATTGTATACAGATTGAGTTTTTTAATTATTTTATATAGGTATGTAATATTTATAGGAATAATCATTTGAAACTCTATTATTGGTTTAGTTTTACTTTGTACTATTTTAATAAATTATGTATTATCATACCCTAGACACATTTTTTTAAATAGGTACTCATCTCATTTATAAACTACATATCAATTTTTAGCTTTTTGCAGCTTTTCAATTTTATGATTAACCACCTTAAAGATATTTATCAGTCTTATGCCCAGAAAGGTTATGACTAACGTAGACATTGTTATAAGTTTGTTTAGATAACTAATAACGAAGAATTTAATAGTGTGTATATCCAGCCCACCTTGTATATAGCTACGTCGAACACGTAGTCTACGTAATTAGAGCTCGCTTAATGCAGTATACCGGAAAATTTAGCCCTCTATAATCACGAACGCTACAATAAACGAGCTTCCATACAGACGAGATATAAGAATAGACCTAACATGCAATGTAATTTTCTGTAAATTAAAATCTCTGTAAGTAGCAATAAAAAAAATTCAAACATTCTATTAAGTTTATTCCATTAAATAAAACAACTTTTATATAAAACATTTTTTCGTATTCGTAATAGTTAGATTAATATAATAGCATACATTTATACCGGGCCCACATTGTATACATATGTGTCAAACTTCCGTTCAGGCCACGCCAGAAAAGCAGTACATTCTTCCTTGCTAGCGAAACAGGGGCAATAATGATGTGTGTATCGCTATATGCAGTCACGAGTGTGTGTGTACTGTGCGTCATCATGGTGTCCAACGTAGTTCCTAAAGTCGGAAACTTTTATGTAGAGTGCGCTCGAATCAGCGTGATTTTCGTGGGACACCAAGTCCCATAAGATGTTAGGTCTATTCATATATATCGTCTGTGGTTCCATAAGATGATAGGTCTATCCTATACCTAGTCCATAGGTTTCAATTCAAGGGAGCATTGCCGTTTAGAGATTTCATGAAAAACGATGTACAAATATATTATTTAATTACATACTAGGAATAAATGAATGATGTAGAAGTACATGTATACGTAACTGTTTGCTAATTGCAAGAATTTAATTGTATAGATGTATTAGAATTCTTATATTGTGAGGTCTGCGTTCTTTTATCACAATGTAATAAAAAAGTAAAATATTTTGCAAATTATCGACCGCTGCGTGATTCTTTCTGGAGAGTGGCAGATGACAAATTAGAAGAGGTAGATCGTTACAAGTGTTCGGGGTAGGTAATTACGCACCACCTGGTTTCTTTCGTGGGCCGAGTCGAATTGTTTTTGCCGGTTAAACCTTCCTTGAAGTAAATAAACTGAATGTGGTAAACGAAGCAACTTTCCAACAGTACGTTTAAGTCATTTAAAGTGCATTTTACAGTGTACAATAGTATACCGTTGAGGTATGTGTATCTTGTATGAAATTACATACATATTGAGAGGTTGCTTATGTTTATACAAAAAATATTGAAACGAAAGAAGCCTTGAATATTTCATAAAGATATGAGAACTGGTATCCCTTTGAAAATGGGAATGTCATCGAAATTTATGGAACATGGAATATTTGAGGCAGTTGCGAAAATGTACAGGACTTAAAAACAGTGTCAAAATTCCATTCATTCCATGAATTTTTAAAAATATTCCTAGTACTATTGATGTAGCATCGAATCCCATGGTTTATAGAATAAGGAAAGGAATCTCAAGTAATCTTCAATTTTTTTCGATCAAATTATGCAAACACTCAAATTACTATTATAACATAATCTAAGTTCGATGTAACACAGAACAGTTAGTTTTCTCTAACACATGGTTTATTTTTATATTCAATACACATGTATATTTTTTAGTTGCTATGTTAAGTTACCGAGCGCTAGACATACAGTCATCGCGAAACTTAAGAACGCAGTATCATTAACGAATAAACAAAGTGAATGAAAGATGCAAACCATGACATTTTTTACAATGTGTCCATTTCATTTAACGTGATAAATTGAACATGCAGGTGACCACAGAAGGTGAGTCCAAGGCAATCAACGACGTAAGAGCATGTTATCGTTGTGTCTTATCGATAAGCAATAAAACTCCGCGTCGAATACGTTTCCGGGAAGTGTTTATCGTTGCGTTCTTCGCGGGTGCCATTTGTCGCCACGTGTCACCGAGTCTTGATCCGGGGCAATACATGTTGTAGTTGGCGACAGATAATAATGCAATCACTGGTTTCGATGCAGTTTCCGTCCGCGTTGTCCGTCCGATTTCACCGATAACCGATTTTCGAGTGAGGGAGATAGAGAGAGGTCGGTGGTCGTGTCCATTCAGTCGATGGTCCTTATCACTGGCTGTCGGATTAGCGTCACTCGTTTCGAACGTGTGTCAGTAGTGTCCGGTTGAACCTGTACCGTGAATCGTCTGAAAAATGACGATCACCGTGGTCCAAGCGAAGCTCGCCTCAATGATCGCCATCGGGGTTGGCAGCTTCATCGTCGGTATCGCTCCGGTATGCTTCGTCTCACGTATACGGGATCTTCAGCAAAGGTTGCTGCTCTCCTGCACTCTATGCTTCGGCGGTGGTGTCTTGCTCGCGACATCAATCCTCCATATGTTACCGGAAACACGCGAGGGCTTACCCAAACACGCGGAACTGGTGTTCGCTTCCGGGTATCTTTTGCTGTACATCGTTGATGAGGCTATCCACTACTTCTGGGGCAGCGACGTCGACTATGATCCCGAGTTGCATCAGCAAGATTATAAGAACCGAAACCCTGGGAATCAGATGTATGTATACTATTATTTATGAGTCACTGGACACTTGAGTGGTTTGAGGAAGATAGAAATCACAACAGAGATGCATCTTTTTCAAGCAATTTTAGCGACTTATTCCATTTTTCGGTAAGATAGTGATCTTGAACATAGGTACCTCATACATTTTATAGAATTACTTAACGAAAATTACAAAATAATAATGGGTTGCAGATAGATAGAGAGATAGATAGATATATTCTTCATTTCAGCCTCACAGCCACGAAAATTGGACTTGATTTACAACTTATCCAAACCTTACATTAGGGGCATTCCATGAGAAATCGGACACTTTTTGACGTAACATTTCGGATTTTGTTGACACTTGGATATGTTGCAGTGTTTAGTGATATATAAACGTATCTCGAAGGATTTTGGACAATTTTTTAAATTGTTGATTCTACAGCTGTTTGAATTATAGTGTCAACCTTTCTTCAATAAATCATAACTGTTGAACTAACAAGCCGATCAAAATGAGCTTTGTGGGTGCTTATAGTGGAGACATAAGAGTACCTAATGAAAATTATTTCAATTAAGAAAATAGTTTTAAACCGTTTATTTTGCAATTGTTTTAAAGAAATGCAATGTTGAAACAAAAAATGAGGTTACAGCCCTATTTGTTCTTTTTATGGACATATTTTCAAAGATGTGGAGTCTTTAAAATTGGCCATATGAGAATCAATTAAAGTTAACTCTGCGTTGAATTATACAGGCTCGATCGCCCAAGTTGTGCGATGTACTACATAGGCTAGTCGGTTTGGATTAGGCAAAATTAAGAAGAATTCGTTTATTTCATTATTTAATTCACTTTTTTCTTCTGTTTCTTACTTCACGTCTAGTGACAGAAGTGTCCGGTGACTTATGGATGGGGGTGTATATGCGTGATTTTGATCAGAGGCAATATTGGTAACGTTATAGAAAGTATTTCTGTAAGTATAGCTATCTACGGGTAAATGGTTACTCAAATTTTAAATTGTTATGTATCTTGAATTATCTGTGGTAGTGGAATTTTTGGTAGATATTTAACGAATCGTTTAATTTTTGCGTTACTTAGAATTTTATTTGGAAATTATGTATCAATGGAATTTAAATTACTACGCTTATTCGTTCACCTATTTATCTTTGTTAATTCAATTCATTTTTAGAAGAATTCATTGTCCAATTAAAATGATATTTGTAATTGAAATTTTTATACAGTTTTGGCTCTTCATTTTTTTTTTCAAAAAGCTGCACTAGTGCTGAAAATGCTTTGAAAGTTGAATACTTGTGCAGTGTTGCACACTTGTTCTACACTCTGTGTACAGTTTATATTTAAACTTTCAGTGTTTTTGTCTTATTTTTCATGAATGTGTATACCTGCGTACACACATAAATTGTATTATTCACTAAAATTTTATTTACAGTAACTTGCAAGTTACAATTCGAGTACGATTAAAAAGTTCAAATTTTCCGTCATTTTTCCTACGATTTTATTTTTATTTTTAATTGTTTATATTTTTATGGTTTTCGTGTAAAGTTACAACGGTTGTCGATGAATTTTGGTGCGCTTATACATATTTTTAATTGTCGGGATTCGCGTAGATAACGATGATATTTTGATAAATACTGAATTCTCATTGATATACATATAATCAATAGAAAACCGCTATCTATTCTTTGTGTATGATAATCTATGAATTTAATGTGTTTACTGAGTGTCTGAACAACCATGTGGAAAGCTGTTCAGTGTGGAAAGTAACTATGTGAAATGACAAATATTTTTTAAATTTCTGCCAATTAAATGATTATAAATAACACATTTTGAAAATACATTTAAGTTTTTACAGTATATTTGAAGCGAACTAATTAAAATTTATGTAATAATTGTACGAATAAACCGAAGAATTCAGTTAAAATTAACACTTATTTTACGTAATCTTTAGCAATGATAATACACTATAAATTAATAAAAAAAAATTCTAGTTCATTAGACAGCAAAATGTATCGAGCAGTAATATTACACAATAACGTCAATGATAAATAAAACATTTGTGATTCAATAGAGATACAAAAACGAGGACTAATAGAAATAAATTGTCAACTAATATTCGCGTACCAAAGTGGTGATCACTTTATGGATTTATACGTTACGTCGCCGCGGAAAATTCAACGTTTCTCTGTTACTGACCCAATAATACGGTCGAAGCCTTTGGTAAACTACTGATAATGGAAGGGGAACAAGGAACTCGATAGATGCTGCTGCTTGTCTTTCGCTAATCGTGTTACACTTTTTCCCTTCTTATATCGTCGGAAAGGTGAATAAGAGTTAAGCGTCACATCAAGAAGATCGATTTAATACTCAATAAGTATCGCGACAGTTAAATACGAAATGATGTTAGCTGTCCGTCACACACGATTTATCGATACATAAGTTTTTCATCAATTATTGTGTTTACTTGTTTCTTTTATTATTTACTAAATGTAACATAGGTATCTGCTGTATTTAATATAATAAATATAACATTAATTTCCTCTACATCATGGGTTAATAACAAAAATAATTGTAAAGTGAACGTATTGAAAATGGTAGATACCAAACCATACTAAACAGCAAATATTGTTCTAAAGTTTAAAAAAATGTATTATAAAAGGATCATAGAATTGAGGGTGGCCCGAATCAATAAATAATAATTTTATAGAAAATCATTACACTTGTTCTTTTGACAATATGTGCGCAAATTTGTGTGTCACTGTGTGTAGAAATATGCATGAAGAAGCGTACATTTTGTTAACATTTTATTCTACCTTGTGTACAATTGAAGCTGACTGTTCTTATTAGTACGATATAAAAGCAATCAATTGCTGCACAGGTGTTTAACGTGGGTGTATTAACCTGACTGCTGGTGTTATCTACTTGTTTTATTTTGAAGAGCTTGATACGTGAACGACTTCAAGGGTATATACCGCGAAGATTACTTTGTCTTAATTATTTTGTAGATTTGTTGGGTTTTTTAACGGTATAGAACTATTTAAAACATATGTAGTGGGATTACGTACGTATGTACGTTTTATCTGATTTCATGTGTCATATCTACTATTAATAACGTACAAAAATAAAACAAGTTTTTTATACTACCATAAAAGAAATTTATGACAGCGAGAATTTATCACAAGTCAGCCAATAAGGTTACAGGATATTACAGAAATTATATGTGAGAAATTGAAGTCGAGAAATCAGTCCCTTTCAATTCTAAGTGTCTCGAATCTGCGAAGAAAGGTTTCCATAAATTTGTAATACTTTCTCACGAAGTATTTGAGAGCGTACTGCTGTAGAGCATTCCTCTTTTTCATTATTTTTCAATATTCCGGTAATAAAATTTCATATACCATCTGCTACCTTTTCTTTTTTCGACGTGCCTCACTTTTTGTGAATATACTCTTACATAAAAACCAGTTTTTGAACGAATATGATACATATATACATATTCTTCATTATATTCTTTTATGTAAAATTAGGATCTCCACTTTGAATAAAACAATCTTATTTTTCACTCTTTTCGTAATTTACAATGGCGTTTATGAGTTGGTGGTAAACTGGAGTAGAAGACAATGCTAAGTTCAAAAGAGCGTTTTTAAACTTGTAAATGTGTAGAATAAATCAAATGGTACTATATTTTATTTACTATCTGATTGAAGCTAACAAACTTTGTAAACAGCAAATTTATCAAAATTGACTATTCTAGTAGTTACCAGCACATATCTACATAGAATTTAACCAGGAATTTTTTTTATTTTCATGCATACAGTGACATTTATGAATTATTTACAAAAATTTAAATCAAACGACAATTTGAATCTACCCAGATAGCACCGTACATCTAACGGACGTCCGTTTCATGTCCAGTTTATATCCCAGTGTCCTACGTCCGTTTTGGACATCCCTAGGATGTTCGTAAGACTTACATTTCGCATGTTCTAGGACTGTCTGTTTCTTAAGTTTTACGAATGTTTGTAGCATTTAGATTACGGATGGTTTCGTTTAGTAATTTTGGCTCAATGTCATTCCGTGCAAGGTGGTGGAACCCCATGAGTAAGGTGTCATTCTTTAGAGAATCAATAGAGAAGTGTAACGACACTAGCGGTTTTCTGCGGAAACTTCAGAAAATTTGGAAAAACATTTTTTTCTCAAACTGATTCTAACCAACACACAATCAGTATTTTGCTTTGAAAATAAATCCAAAAGTAATTTCTACTAATTTATACTAATTTTAAGTGCGGAAATCGCAGGGAAGTTAATCTTTTATTTATTAAATACAAACCAACCTTATCTAACTTCTATTACCTTGCCCAGTATGAAATCAAACCGTAACTTTCAACATTTGTGATTAAGTTTCTTTACGCCTTTTAAGACATTACCATAGTATTTTGAAAATCTGTTTAAACGTTTCCAAAACGTACAAAGAATATTACTTTTACACATTCGAAAAATATTTTGAGAATGTTAACACAGGACGTTCCACTTTTTAAATAGGACTTTCCTGCGACATTTAATGGTCTTAAGGAGGACGTAGAAGGGGCATGTGGACCTTTTCGGGACATTCTCCGAATGTACAGAACGTCCTAAACGTACGTCCTCCCGACGTACATAAGATGTTTTTGTGTTATTTGGGACTTCGTCTATTATGATTTCCATGAAGCTCCAAAGAAGATTAACGTGTTATTGAGTTTTTTACTATACTACATTTTAGACATTGCTTGCTATAAATGAATAAATTTTATAGACTAGAATTTTTTAAATCTTCTATACGATCAAATACTATTCTGAAAAATAATATTAATTTTACCGTTTCTCCAGGAATCTTAGTCTTTGAAGTTGTTTGGTCATGAAATCGTAAATATTTAATAACGGGTATTAACCATGTGGAATCAGTAAAATGCGAATAACGACATAGCCGGCTATAAAACAACGTTTCGTAAAACTCGTACCTGAAACGCACGCGGTCAATCCCAAAAATACGCCATTATGTTCTGATTATTATCTATTATCACCGATAATTCCAGAGCGTGGGGATTATTTCAACTATAATATGCGGAATACGGTCACATAGATTTGTTCACAAATTTTCGAACGACTAACACAAGTGTAACAATTCTTTATCAGATTCTCATTAGTTTATTCGTGTTACTTTCAAATTTGTGAGCTATACCGTACCTAAATACCAAAATAACCATGATTATATGCAGATTTTTAACAATCCACAACTTTCTAGCATAATCTGTCGAATCGAGTACAGTAAATCGTCGATGAGTGTTCAAAGGATTTTTGACATTCACAAATAAAGATCCACAGAGTAACAGTGACTTTTTAATGAGGTTTTGTACAGTGATAAAACTTGGAATTCTGAAGTCAATGATATTTGTTTCAACCGCATATGGCCATTAGTTTATGAAATATTTTATGTTCAGTGCCGAGGAGACTTCGAACACTCATCGAGGATTTATTATAAACCGAAGTAAGGAAATCAAGGGTGGTAGTTTCGCTTCGAGTTCTACCCAAGTATAAAATACATCAATCTCACAAAATTAACACTCCGTAGACAAACATATTTTTTCACACTCTGCAGAAAAATAGGGTCGTCAAAGCCCAAGCTTAATGTTTTACTAATGTTTTTACTGTTCAGGCTTTCTTAAAAAAAAACCTAAAATAGTCTGAGCTACTTATCAAAGTTTTCACTACGTTATGAAATCATTTATTTAATCAAATTTTTATAACCAATTGCATTAATAATATAAACTCGGAGGAAAGACCGGGAAACATGGAAACTCACTTGTACACGTGAAAGAAATTAGCTAACATGATATTGATTCTCTATCTTAATTATCTGTAGTATTTAACGTAATTAATTCCATTGTTATGTTATACAATACCCTAAAACGAGTAGAGTACACTGTATAATATTGAGTTAAAGAAAGGTGTTATGATGAGAATTTTCATTTCCAAAAGTAATGTCGAATATACCTATCACTAAATCGCCCATTTCACGCGCAACGACCCAATATCTCAAAAGCGTATTTACTGACTTACACCACTAATGCTTTCAAGTGATCGATCGATACCGTTTGGTTACATGTAATTTCGATGTCAATTATGTTCTGGATTTCTCGGTTACAGAGAGCGTTGCCGAGCTCCCACACATCAAGTGAGCTGTTCTGCATCCACGAAATCTATCGGTTGCGTTCACACGCCTGAGGCTAATGCGAAGTCACTTTATCAAACAAATCTCTCTGGGAATAGAATGAACAACAGCTGGAAAAGTACCTACGGGGCGGTTGAATATGGGCCTACAGCCCCCGCGTCTTGTTACATCGAGGAACAGACATTTTTATGTCACGGTAATCACACTGAACCGTGCGCCAATTCCTCTAGTACCAGCCTGGTTGGTCTTCTGCTGGCGCTTACGGTGCATTCGATCCTCGAGGGACAAGCGATCGGTTTGCAGAAGGCGACCTCCGAGGTATATAGGTGATATTAGTCAGTGTTAGGATACAAAATTTTGACCGTTTTAGGTACACTTTCAAAAGATTTTATTCGTTGTAGTACGTGGGTCGTTAGAAAAGTTCTGCGAGTTAACTATGGATGACATCGATAGTTTTGAATATCTGTAGTTCATCAATGATTTTAATTTGTTATACAGTATGTTTCACAAGAGCGTTGGAACGATATCTGTAAAAATAATTGATATTTAAAAAAAATTCAGAACAGGTTTATAATACATCTAAAACACTGCGACGCGTCATTAAGACTCTGTCAGTCATTTTAATTGTAAATTAAATTCCATTGGAATAAATGTTGACCGTCAGTTACGTTGTTGTATCGACATTGAATGTAAATTATATTTAAATAACAAATTACTTATTCTCCCTCAATATTAAAGAGTGAACAGAATAATACTATACAGGGTGGCCTGCGAAACTGAGATAATTAGTCTTTAGCAAGGGGATGTCAAAATTTCGATTTCAATTTAAACACTGGGATAATTAGCCTTTCGAAATTATTTCAAATGTACTGTAGACAATAGATAATGTTTATACACTCAATAATGTAACAAAACTATTCAAGAATTATGCCTTTTGTATTGATTTTGCTTCCAAATCTGATTCATAATACATAATTCATAAAAACGAAGGAGAATTAATTTTGTATCTCCTTTTAGGGGAATTTGTTATAGTACGTGGGTCGTTAGAAAAGTTCTGGCAGTTAAATATGGATGACATCGATAGTTTTGAATATCTGTAGTTCATCAATGATTTTAATTTGTTATACAGTATGTTTCACAAGAGCGTTGGAACGATATCTGTAAAAATAATTGATATTTAAAAAAAATTCAGAACAGGTTTATAATACATTTAAAATACTGCGACGCGTCATTAAGACTTTGTCAGTTCGGCATCGTCTGTTATTGTACACACTCGAATTTCAAAGTGAATGCAAGGTACGCTAAACGGTTTGAAACAGTGTTTCTTTGTACGCATCCTAAAGGACCAAAATTGATCTTTTCAACGGCGACGGCTCGTCGCATGAACCGTCAAGAGTCAAACGAGTTCGTAAGGAAGTGAATGAAATGGTGTAGGGCTGCAAAGGATGTTGATACCTTCGAAAAGAGAGGGAAATCGCGTATCACAAGTGATAGACAAGATAAAACCATTTAAACATTTTTTATTTTTTAAAAGAAACAGGTCTATTGAAGTCTACTAGAGAGTGGTTTGGTGAAAATAATTTATTTTGGAAGCCGGAGTCGGCTGTGTACTTCGTGGAAAATGGAAAATGGTATCCGAACACTAAACTGGCCTTCACAATCGCCAGACGCTAATCCGATTGAAAATGTCTGGATTATCATCAAGCTTTCTGTTTCGTGGAAGGCTTATACTTACTTTATCACATCTATGCCACCAAATTAAACAAGTATGAAGGACATTTTGTGAAGGGTACGCGGAGAACTTGAGCAAAAGCATAGAGGCCATAGTTGAAAATGAAGGGAATCATGCATTATATTAGGTAATTGCGGCGTAGTGTTTTCGACGTACAATAAGCCAGTTTTTGAAGTTCTAAAAAATATGAATTGTTTTTCCAGATATCGTTCTAATGCTCTTGTGAAACAAACTGTATGTTACGGATAACTGTAACGTATTATGTCAATGTATTATGTAGTATTATATTTTGTATACAGCTGCTTGAACGAAAGTGCTTTTGGTAGTGTGCTGTGTTCCCTGACAGTTCGATCAGAAGCGAATTCGAATATAAGTTTTTCAGGAGTGGTTAAGATGTTTGTGTATAAAATTGGAATATCCTCCATCCAAGTGCATTATCGTTAAAGGGGTTTGTATTGAAAAATAGAAATATTTTAGAAGCGATAGTTCCCTTTCCACTTCATTTCGGGAACTTTTTAAATAATCCACGTATAACTAGACCATCTAGCAGTTCCACAATGAATTACTCATGTGCTCGTACAGTTATTAATAAAAAGCTAAGTTCTTGGAAGTAAGTATTTAAATTCGAAACTAGTTTTTAGGAAATGTTTTTAATTATAGTCTTCTTGCTTAATGTTGTTCCTGTTAAAAAAACTTACACCAAAATCGTAAACAAAGTTTTATGGAGTTTATCTTTGAGTTTGACTTAAAATTTTCAAGTGTTGATATACAAAGAGATTTTAATGGAGTTTCATCTCAATCCATCTTAACTACTTTCATTTATTTTAAGTACTTTTAAAAGATTAAACCAAAAGGTGCATTATAAGAAATGCAGACCAAATTCTAACTTAACATATCAATGGTATCTATTGTTAATAATTTTTATTCGCAAAGGTATAACCAAATGTACGAATCAATAAATGCGGCATTTCAAATGAAATGGTCTTATAAATATGTATTATGTACTGGAAGAAGTTCGTATGGTTTTGTGGTAGGTACAAACTTCGAGCAATCATAACTTAAATTGTATAATTATACTCAACTCCGACGTATTTAATTCTATGGCACCTTTATCAGGTTTTACTAACTTGTAATTTATACATGTGAATTAAATGTTAGATATTGGGGTAGATAAATAAATGTTTATTGCAGTATGCACGCCATTACCAGATTGAAAACACCTTTTTATTAGAAAGTTTGATACGAATAAAAGTGAATGGTAATTACATGAAAAAATAAGTCTAAAATATTGGATAGATTTGGTAAAAATCCCGGTATCACCGATTTTTAAAGTTAGGAGGCACAAATTTAAATGAAAAATGATGTCATTGTATGGAAATTAGGTAGGTAACATAGACTTTGTTTTGATGCCGCATTGATTATCGTATAACCAAAAAATTTACCATTGATAAGAAACCGTTCGAACTTTTTCCGGTACCAAACATTTAAGTTTGTCGTTCCTGTTAAAGTAGTTCCTCAGGCAATGTTCCATTTACCTACTACATTAGTTGAAGGAAGAGGAAATTATTATCGCATTCATCATCATAGCGTTTGTTTCTAACCATTTTTCTGCGGACTTTGATTGGTTCAACGACACGAAAGTTGCAGTAGAATGAAATAATCGGACTTTTTACGAATGTAATAATCATAAGTAATTCATTGGAAATTTGTACATATATTCAAAATATTCTTTCTCTAAAAGTGACATTAAACTTAACTATTCAATGTGGATGCCGAACAATATCAGTTTTAATCAATCTAGACCATCAGATCTATATATTATATCACAAATCATTTCTTTAAATGTAACAACTTTATGATAAAGTATTTTATTTTAAGCTGTCATTTGAGTAGCATTCTAATGGTTATTAGAGAACACAGATGTTCTTCTGACTTAATTTATTTAACGTTTCTTCTGTATGTATTACTTTCAGGTATTACTCTTGGTTGGAGCAGTGGCCTCCCATAAATTCGTCGTAGGTTTTTGTTTAGGTTTGGAATTAGCTGATTCTAGTGGTTCTATCGCTAGGCTACTATTAGCGAGTTTCGTCTTTTCTGCTGGATCAGTGGTTGGCATTGGATCTGGAATGATAATGCTTCGAGTGAGTACATTCAAAATATCAATTGCAAATTGTACAATGCATTTCCCTGCTTCTTCGTTTTATTACTCGTTAAGGGGTGATTCGTTGAGGCAAAATAAGACGAAAATCAGTACAGAGTAAGGAAATTGAAAAGGAAATTGCTAGTCCAGGCCCTAAATGATGGCAATCCGCATGGCACGGACTGTCAGCGGGGTAGGGCTGATAAGGGGCGTACAGTCATTCTAAAAACTCAACGACGTGCAGGAATAGTAGGTAGAATAGGTGACTACTTATTCGTAGTGATGGGTAACCGAGCAGTTCGAGCTACTCGAACGAGCTCGGGTGACAGGTTTATGATCTCAGCGGAGAACCGAGGCTCTGGCACACGAAGGCGAAGGATGTTATCTGGATGCCGGCAACCGACCCTCGGGTTACAATGTAACACACGGAACGAATCACCCATGAAAAAAATTTAAACTTTTACTCTTGTCAGTGTACTTTCTTAAAGATGTTATGAATAAATGTAAGAGATTCTCTTGATGAAAATAAGTCCAAACCCGACATAAATCGGACTATATTTAATAACAACTTGTAGCTTTTAGCATAACCTATTCTGAACACCTTCAAACGTTTTCATTATTCTTTAATTTATGTGGACATATAAAGTTATTCGCTTTGTATATAAGCTTTAATTTTTCCAATAATTGGACAAGACGATAAGCAGATAACGAATCGATTTGTGTAGATGCGGTACGAATGGATGAAGATCGGATTGCCGATTTTGCAGGGTTTAGCCGGAGGATCTCTGTTGTACGTGACGGTCAGCGAAATTCTTCCTAGAGAAAGGGCGCGATGGCACATGAACCCACAGCGTTCAGCGGGTATTTTTCAGTTCTGCTCTGCGTTCGTCGGTTTCGTAATTATTTTTTTGTTGAACAGCTATCTGGGTACGTGAAAATTGCGATAAAACCGAAGAAATGCTTTACAAAAAATACATTGTGCAAACGAGTCCCGATAGATTGGAATAATAAGTATACGCAGAACTGATGAAAAAATGTACAGAGCTTCGGAAATACATTTCTTCTAGAAATTATAGTGACTTGCGAATTTGTTCATGGAAGACTATTACGTTTATGTAACCAAATCACACATTTGTACCAAAACATATGTTTGATATGCAATATATTTTACATATTGAACTGCTAATTTTGTATCATGTAAACTTTATCATTGAAAAATGTTAAATTGTTAGAAAAATGTTAGAATTGATGATAAGACGAATAAATGAATAAGAATCTTGTACACAAATATTGACTTGCTCCTTCGAAAGTACGTGACCAAATCTGCGAGTCACTAGATTTTTATGTCCATATAAATATAAGTTAACTGCGGATCTTTATGGATAATAATATTTTTCGAAACCAAATTAATACAAACAAGAGTAAACATTTTTTTACTAACAGTAAGTATTAAAGCTTTTCATCCTTTTAAGAATTTTATTGGGCTAAGGATCATATAAGAAATGTATTAAAACTGATTAAACTTTTATATTTTATTGTGTTTCGGGAAGTTCTACATGCTGTATAAATGAATAAAATCCGCAGTCTGAAGATAAGACAGCAATACATTATGTAATGGTATTGGAAGTGTTGTATCAAAATATGAGAAGGATTGGATAATGACAACTAGATACCTTGAAGATTGCGCATAAATAGTATAGTAGGACGAAGTTGATGTAACTATGCAGTCTGTGGATTTTATGCATTTATAGCCTATAGGGGTTTGTAAAATACAATAAAGGACAAAACTTTCATCAGATCCAATAAGTTTTTTGGTTTATTCGAAACCGAATATGATACTTAGGAAAAGAAAGAAATTCCTACATTTCCTCGTCCCTGTATGAATTGTTTTAGAAAATATCATTTTGCATAAAAATCCGCAGTTTAGATATAACGCTTTAATTCACGATGACCCTTATTCTATGTACAGTTAAAATTTTTATTTTTCACTCCGAGAAGAATAGAAAATTATAATTGTAAAAGTGACAGTATTTATGGTTTTGAGCATGTATAAATATGTTATATAACAGATAAATCATATAAATTATTACATTCGAATATACCACTGATGGAATGTACATAATTTTAAGGAACATTTTACATTAAAATTTCTCATTGCACAGGAAATTTAATTGTAAATTAAATTCCATTGGAATAAGTGTTGACCGTCAGTTATATTGTTGTATCGACATTGAATGTAAATTATATTTAAATAACAAATTACTTATTCTCCTTCAATATTAACAGTAAACAGAATGATACTATACAGGGTGGCCTGCGAAACTGAGATAATTAGTCTTTAGCAAGGGGATGTCAAAATTTCGATTTCAATTTAAACACTGGGATAATTAGCCTTTCGAAATTATTTCAAATGTACTGTAGACAATAGATAATGTTTATACACTCAATAATGTAACAAAACTATTCAAGAATTATGCCTTTGACATTGATTTTCCTACCAAATCTGATTCATAATTCATAATTCATAAAAACGAGGGAGAATTAATTTTGTATCTCCTTTTAGGGGAATTTGTTTTGAGACGAACAACTATATTTATTACGACTTGTTACGCTTAGAATCCTGGTGCCTTTCAAATAAACTATTTCTGAATATCAACAAGTGTAATGTTATTCGATTTACACGTCAAAAGCACCCTTTATTGTTCTCCTATGTTCTCCAGAACTCCCCTCTCACATCAGTCAGCACTATCCGTGACCTAGGTGTACTCATCGATTCTACTTTACTCTTTTCTGAACATATAAACCGAACGATTAACACTGCCATGAAAACCCTCGGCTGCCTTGTTAGATTTTCCTCTGAATTCAAACACATCAACACCCTCAGAATGCTATACTTCAGTTTTGTTCTTCCACACCTGGAATACGCTTCAACCATCTGGTCCCCACGTTACGATAACCATAAAAGACGACTAGAAGCTGTTCAGCACAAATTTCTTAGGTATGCTGCCTATAAACACAGTCAACCGATGTCTACCACCAATCATGACTACACTGATATTATGCGCTCACTTAATATCACTACCTTAGAACATAGAAGGATTGTCCTTGACCTAACCTATTTTCATAAAATACTCAACGGGCAAATATACTGTCCGAATATACTTGCGAGTATTAACATCAATGCTCCGATGAGAACGATTAGACACCCTCCAACATTCACACCGTTACTATATACCTCTAGATTTGATCATACCGACGTTATCACCAGATTATCAAACTTAGCTAATAAATTCTCTAACACCATAAATTTCTTTGGCAACTCTACTTCATCTTTCAAATCAAATGTACAGAAAGCTCTCCGAGGCGGTTTAGACATTTAAGCAACTTGTAAGGTTAATTATATATACTGCGACATGTGACCTATCTAAACAACTTATAGAAACAATGGGGCCAACCCGTTTATAAATAAAAAATAAATAAATAAATAAATATTTAAATTCTAATCCATCAACTGTTTGCATATAAGAATCCATAATGTTCCAATGAAACCTTTTCATGTAATTATTATTTTTGAAATTAATGTTCTGATTTAAAAAGAATTGCAACTTTATACATTTTTGAAATTCATAAAATCGACATAAAGAATCCTGAAATATTTTTCGTAACTTCGTATTTCAGTTGATATCCACTTAAAGTCATTGCACAATGTATATCTTCGAATGTTCGTTGCACCGTCCTATTTAATATCGCACTGAAATGCTATGAGTGGTACAGCACGTAGTCTCCGTAAGTGTTTGTGAGACCGATGATTAATTCTCCGAGGTCCAATGATGCATTATTCGAGAGAAAGTTCGATGAAAAATGAGTCGCGATAGTTGAAGATATATCATTGGTTTGACGGCCGTTCTTATAGGCGACGATAATCGAAGCGTGGAATGAAATTTTTCAATTTCCTTTCGTCATTTTTGCCGTCCGCACCTTTTTATCGAATTGGCGAGCCTTATCTACAGAGCAGCCAAGCGAATACATTTAATTAAAACGTTTTACATGGAAAGACTTGAATGGTGGCTATCTCATTAAAGCACTAAAGCAAAAATGCAATGCACAAAAAACGAAACGTTACGCGCGCGTGCAGACATTTATTGAGTACCAATTACAGTTAATTGAATTATAACTTTAATTTATTATAACTTTCATTATCTTCTCCGCCCGATTTATTAATTTCATTTTCGAAACCAAAAATTGAAATAAGACCTTTGTAATTGAAATTTCATGTAAATTTTGTATTTATAATTTTACTACGTAAATTTTCAATCAATAAAGTAACGTGATACCAGATACCACTGATTAAAGTTCAGCAATTTACATTTCTTCATTCTGGTCGGAGGTGCAGATTAGGTTTTCCATTTATGTAAGTACACTGAGTTTCATAACTAGCGATGCAACCCAATAACTGCGACTCTATCTAGGAAAACGAAATCGAAAATTTCGAATAAAAGTTTTTTATGGTAAGCGTCTCCATTAAATTTTCGATGAAAATTTATTGTGTAATAGTATTAGATCATGATTTAAATTGGTTCTAATGTCTGTAACTGTTGGCTATGATATGTTGTAATTTGTTTCTTACAATAATGTAATATAAATATGTGGTTAGAAGATAATAAGAATGTTGGTGAATTCATCGCTAATACTATACATAATATGTATGTATCGTGAGCGTTTACTACAAGTAGAAGTACCAAGTAATAGTCAGACACTGTCTTAGTTGCTTACGGAATCATGCATTCCTTTCGACTTTTCAATCTTGCTTCTTCGTATGCTCTCACATATCTGCGACAAAGAAATAAATATTTGAAGGGATTAAACTCATAATCACTCGAAGTTTCGTGGTTTTCGGCTAATTTACTTTTCTAGTCGAGATTGAAATGATAGTCACGTAGAAACTTTACAGTTAACACGTTGACTGCCGTGGGGGTCACCAGTGACCCCCACTCTAGGGAGTATATTTGTCGATATTATTAATATTGGACCATAAATCTATGATAACATAGTTGACTTTAATAATTTTATATAACATTTATACATATTGTAATTGAAATGTACGAAAATTGTGCGGCAGGCAACGTGTTAATTGAATTATGATACTTTCGGGTTGACTTTAATGAAATTAAATACGTAATATATTTCGAAGAATCGCATAGGTTTAAGAAAAATATTTCGTTTTATGTTAAGGTTAACAGATTGTCGATTTCCTGTCTATGATATAATTTACGGTGTCACGTGCCAGTCCAAAAAGTATTCAAGCTCTACGTAATTCCATTCGATTTCGGAGAACAATGTTTTACTTCCGGTAACTGCGTTTCGAACATAAATTTTCTTCATCAAAGTTTTTAACACGATCGCAATATTTATAGTTTGTCGGGGCAACTTCAATCGAACTTTTTATTACGTACCATGTTACTTTTATTGATAAACGATATTTCATAAGTTTAGATACATGGTTGAACTCGCGCCATATAAGTGGACGTTATGAAAGACAACAAAAATGACAAAGTAGTGAATAAACTGCACCAGAGAGAATTAATATGGGCAACCCATAATACTGGGATGATGTTTTCTGTAACATATTTTACCAGATCATCATTATCTTCGACATAAATGATTTAAAACAGAATTTATTTAAAATGATGCATTCAAATTAGATCAATGATCATTACTCTAAATTTATTAATTTCAAATAAGAAATTAAAAAGTTTCAATAATTCGAATATAAAATTGAAATTATAGTTTTATTAATTTCGGATAAGGAGCGAAAGATACTCAAACAAAATTGCAAATGTATCTTACTATTTCATTCGAATGTTCATAGATCTTAAAATACGAAATTTGCCAAGAAATAAATAGAAGTTTTTATCCTTACGTATAATTTCGTTTT